TCCTTCAATGAACGCGCAATAGATTCTCATTTAAAATAAAGTGTGCTTGGGAAAAAAAACAGTTATAACATAACAAAAATTATATGGATCTATCCGATGGTTTTCTTGTGAAGTCATCCATCACTTAATATATTGACACATGTTCAAAGTATATTTATTGTAGGACATGTTCAAACTCTCATGCTTCGAAATCAACAAAAAACTTATGCTTTGGAGTTAGACTTGAATATAAATTAATATATTTTTTTTTATCAAAATAACATATTTCTTAATTGTTAAAATTTTTGTACTTATCGGGATGAATATGAATAGTTTCGTTTAAGTTGACATCCTAACATTTTAGGATTCCATTCCACATAGTAAGGCTAACCTTATGAAATTTCGGGGTGATAGAGTACTAGCTGCGCAGTAACTAAATAAGATGTAAATTCAGTTAGGAACTTATTTATCTAAATTCTAAAGTTATATATAAAGTTAAGAAACTGTGAAGATATTTGATGTATTAGACATCTAATTAAATAAAAAAATTTAATTTATTTTACTTAATATTAAATAAACATATTCTACATTTATACATATAAGTATCACCATATTATTTTTATATTTGATGTATTAGACTTCTAATTGAATAAAAAAATTTAATTTATTTTGCGTAATATTAAATAAACATATTCTACACTTATACATATAAGTATCACCATATTATTTCTATTTATTTAAGATATATAATTTTGTACTTATGTAATAGAAATAATATCGATATTTCTATATGATATGAGTAAAAAAATTCAACACGAGTTGACATTTACATTTAATATACTGGTGTTTAATTATTATGATTAAAAAAATATAATTTGACAATTTAATTAAAATCCAAAGTAATGTTTTATGTAAAACTAAATTATTTTAATTTTTAAAAAAGTAAAAAAAATTAATATTTTTCACAAAATCTTTCTAATTCAACACCCGTGTAATACACAAGAATTGTACTAGTCAATACAGTATTTGTGAATAAGTGTGGATGACTTTATAAATCGTGTCATCCGATGACTCCACAGCACAATTGTAAAACATAATTAATTAGTCTATAAATTTATTCTAAATATATCTCGTTTGGTATGAAACTTATTTCATGTTTATTTGCTTCGTCTAACATATATATCGGTTAAGTTTACTAGAAACTTTTATAAGACATAATCACACAAACTAATTTTTCAAATCTTAACTACCAACTATCATCTCAAAATTAACATATGAACTGTCGATTAATTAATTAGCTACTAACTATACATATACCAACTATCTACTCAAAATTTATTAACTATACATATACCGACTATCTACTCAAAATTAACATATGAATTGTCGATTAATTAATCAACTATCAACTATATATATATTTTCAATTAAATCAACCAAACATACCTAAATTAATCTAATTAACTACTTAAAATTTGGAGACAACTTTAAAATGTAAAGGTTAACACAATTGCAAAAACGTCCATATGTAAGTACAAATAGCCTGCATGAAAGTATAGTAATTGCATATTTCGCTATGAGCTTGTATATTTTGTTAATTTTTTAATTTCATTATGCTCGGGTCAAATGGATCAATTTGTATTGATACCTAGTAGAAGGATTCGACGTGTGGAAAAAAAAATATTGAGATTGTAGTTGTACTATAGGCCAGGTTTAGGCCCAATTTAGACTAAGGTCCATCTATGTATCTATATATATGTGTAGTCCTCTTTATGAATAATACATCAGATATTTTTCTCAGATTCTCACATGGCATCAGATTAGGTTTCGAGTCAAATAGGCTTGGTATTTTATGGCTCGTTTCCGGCCGTCTCCAATTCTCACCTCCCACACCATCTTCTCCGTCATCCTCCGGCGACCGTTCGCTGAAAATTTCGGCCAGAAAGGCGGCGCGTGGGGCCCACATGCGCCGGAACATTGAGACAGCGCCGACAGCTTCAGCCAGTGCGTGGGACCCACTCTCAGCTCTGATCGCCTCGATTTTTTCACCGGTAGACTCCTCTCATCGGCGGCTACGTCCTGATGTGGTCGGTTTTGGTTTTCGTGACGTTTTTAATTTCATTTGATTTGTGATATTTTGACGGTTTCGTGATCAAATTCGTGTCTATATTTTCATCTGTTTCGTGATATTGTGTTGATCTGATTTTTGGATATGGATCGTGTGGATGTGCATTCTCCTATTAGTGTTGTTTTATCAGGGGATACTTATAGTCTTTGGGCACAGTCTATGAAGAGTTTTTTAATTGGGAGAAAATTGTGGCGGATTGTGACTGGTGATGTGTTGCCACCTCTGCATCCGTCTCTTTCTGGAGATCCCAACCCCACACCACAGGTTCTTACAGCTTACGTCGATAAGTTGGAGGATTGGGATAGTAAGAACCATCAGATTCTTACTTGGTTACGTAATACTTCGGTCCCTACTATTCAGGTGCAGCTTGCCTCATTTGACAGTGCAAAGGAGGCTTGGAAATTTTTTGCTGCTCGATTTCAGACTACATGCTTGGCTCACTATTATCAGCTTTGAAGCACCTTTCATTCCACCAAGCAGCAACCAGGTCAATCTGTCAATGAGTTTCTTGCACAAGTTCAGTCTATCCGGTATCGTCTCCGACAGTCTGAGATTAGTCTGGATCACATTGATCTTATCCAGATTTTGATGGCTCTTAGTCCTGAGTATGAGGCTGTTCGTGCTTCTCTCTTACACCGTCATCCACTGCCTACTCTTGATGTTGCTATTCAAGAGATCACCTTTGAGGAGACTCGTCTTAAGTTGGCAAGGACACCACAACTTGAGTCTGCATTAGTTGTGCCTACTTCCGCTTCCGCTTCGTCGCATTAACCTCAGTCACCAGTCCGTGTTTATTGTCGGATTTGCAGGAGTTCTAGTCACCCTTTTTCCACTTGTTCTAAGGTGGAGTGTCACATTTGTCATGCTCTGGGGCATATTGCTCCAAATTGTCCAGCAAAGTCACAACATTCGGGACGTTCATTTTCTCGATTTCAAGGGTCTCGTGGGTCTTCTTCATCGACCCCTTCTTCTTCGGTTACAACGGCTGTCACTAATGCG